CTTTGAAACCCTAGCCGCCAATTGTGAGTTTTGGAGCTTTTAAAGCGTTTTATGTGCTCTTTGAAGGAAGAAGGTGTTTGTAGAAAAAGATGTAAAGCTTCAAGGTGTGTAGATTTGGGATTTGCAAACCAACATCTATCTCTAGAAGGTATAAAGCTTTCATCTTGATGCTTGTCCATGTTAGATCTAGTATGGTTGTGAGTTTTATAATTTTGTCCCCATAATCTTGGTCCTTATGAGTATGGGTTACTCCAGACCACTTGAATGCCTTCTTCTGATATTTTTGAGGTTACAGTGTAACGTCCCAAAATTTCATAGTAAAATTTTCACTACCAAAACAATAAACCGTACAAAGGAGTTGTTCCAAAATCAATCAAAGTGCATATATATCATTAAAACATCAGAGTAAAATCACAAATAGCCAACGCGGAAAACTCTGGGGGATCTTGTGCAGTCATGTTGGGCCCTTCCGGTTGGAACCGGAAGTACCTGAAACCATGAACATAAAATCGTAAGCACAAAGCTTAGTGAGTTCCCCAAAATACCACATGTCATACATAGAATAGAGAATGTTATGTGCCAACCATAGTCTTACAATCACTATCATGCCATGAGCTGTATCATGGTCTTTCTTGCTAAGCTGGGGGGCAAAAACTCAGGTATTACAAACAAGTACCAAGAGCCACGAGCGTATGAGACATGAAAACGGGGCACTGATGTTGGAGAACAGGGGAAGACGGGAATAATTTTCGTTCAGATACACCTTGAAATCTTATTTATACACATGTTTTCTTAAGATTGAGATGGGTAAAAATGCTTAAACCAAACAGTCTGAATCTTAAAGATTCAAACAATATCTCTCTATTAATTGAGCCATTAAGAAGCTACAAAACAACCCTAAGTTAATATTAAAGAAAATAACATGAATTTATTTTTATAAAAAAATACCAATTTCTCTAAAATTGAGCATTTTGGGTCGATAAGGGTCGGACATCTGATCCAAATCTACTCTTCCCATTTTTTATTTTTTTTTGGGAATGTGGTATCCATCAAATCTCAGAATAATATTTTGGACCATTGATTGTTGACAATAATAGCTTCTGATGAAGAATAGGTTGCGGTGTTGTAGGTATATTCTCTCTACTTATATTTTTTATTAATATTTTCTCGATCTAGATAGTGAAAAAAACGTAAGCCATAAGCCATAATAATAATAATAATAATAATAATAATAATAATAATAATAATAATAATAAGAATAAGAATAATAATAATAATAATAATAATAATAATAATAATAATAATAAACTTGTGTGTAATACGATGATCGTGTCTGAAACATGAAAATTTGGCTCAAAATTTTCCGTTAAACTTATGGTAAAAATATGTAGATATCGAGCAATCGTCAATACTTAGTGTTAATTTGCATCAATAATAAGGATATTTGGCATTTATTTGATAGAAATGTGTTTCAAAAACATGAATAAGTGTTCCATAACATGAACCGTTATGGAACATGATGAACTGGTATGGAACACACAATTATGTCCGAAATACGCATAGCCAGTCTGGAACAAGTTCCCAAAATGTTTTCTATTGACTTGTTTTACTATTATTCTAGTATGACCGTGTAAATGAAGTTGTACCGACAACGAATTGCAAACCTTAGTTGGTTCAAGTCATTATTGCAAGGCTACAACCTGCCACATCACGAGAGGAGTTTTCAAGGCATTATGTTTTGGGAAGTGGGTTGATGTACTGATAAGCATGGAAGGGTGTCTATTGATCGTTAGTTACATTTTTTCCAATAAGGTTGCTTCCAATCCGCAGTCCGATGTGGATGAACTAATATTTTCGTTAGCCGACTACAACCTATGCTTTGAAACGAGAGTATTATGCTTGATAATGTATTTATGGTTTGGTTACTATTTTACAGCTAGTTTTACAGTCACATGTTTTCAAAATCGGGTGTTTCCATTTGTCTCAGTGAATGACATGGTGAAAGTTAGTGATTTGGAGGCCATATTCAATAACTCACTTCATGAGTTATCCGACGAAGATGTCATAGAGTGACATTATTGTATATGTTGGATAGAGGGTTTTGTGGTAGAAACTATCGTCAACATGTTAATGATGAATTCTTTGCACCCGTATTCAATTTTAACTAGTTCAACATGTATCGTGTAATTTATAATTTTAATTTACTTTTAATTGGGTTCGCTTTATTAAAAAAATTATCTAATTCATTGATCTATTTTTTCTTCCACAAGTACCTTTGGGATAGGGAAGTTTGATCACACGTTTTGAAACATATTTTGATTATGCTTAACAAAATCGAGGAGCATATTCGCCCCACTAGTTCAAAAGCAGGCTAAAGACTTTCATATACCCTACATGGATTTATTTAAAATTTTAAGATAGAATTGTTTTATTTTTTTTGCATTAATATTGATTTTTAGCATAATTATGTGTGTTAATACTTTGACATTTTAATTTGATAGATATGGATCATGGAGACATTTCTATAGAGTAGAACATCTGGCAACCTAATATCGGATGCAATCCTTTAGGTCATTGCATGGTCGAGGCTTTGACCCTTGGCTTCATTCGATTATGCTTGTATCATTGATGTTTTTGGGGTATGAATATTAATGTAAAATTTATTCATACTGTACTTTTTTTATATTAACTTTATTTATGATTAGGTGGACCATCGTCCGATTGAGAGATTAGATCCTACTGTCACGGACCAGGTTTTTGGAAGTCTCCGAAACCATGTTGAAAATACGGGAACGAAAAAGAATACTCGAGGAGTCTTCGGATAGATCAAGAACACTCTAAGGGACCCTGGAAGACGCTAGAATATTATAGATGTCCATAGAACAAGATAGACTGACCAGACAATACACGAAGCTAGAATGACCGTGAAGACTTTTGAACGATCTAGAACATGCTAGATCATACAGGAACGACTTGGATAGTATTGGAAGATCCTCGAGATCTCTAGAACATTGTAGAATAGTATAGCATAATATGGATTCTTGTAACATTCGGTTCCAGGTATTTCTTGTTTGGTCCTTTGAGTTTAATATTTTTTGCAAAAATGGCCCCTCATACGTTGGGCGTACATTTGGTACGCTTAAAGTACATGCGCGGTTGGAGACGGGGGACTTAACCACGTATGCTAAGCGTACATGGTGTACGTGGGGCGTACGACAGCCAAGACCAAACCCTAATTTTTAGGGCATGGGCCCTATTTAAACATCATTATGGCCTTTGTACACTTACTCTCATCATCATCCACTATTCATTCCCCCTATTAAAACCCTAAGTTCATCCTTTTATGGCATTTTAGTGTGTGTTCAAGAAGAAGGAACTTGGAGACCAAACATTTGTTGAGGTTGAGCTTCTAGATCCAGAGTCTTCATCAACTTTAGGAGCTTTTGAAGGTAAAAGTTCTTACATTGGTGATTCATTTTGATTGTTAGAGTTTAGCGTTTGTTTGTGAGTTTTATTTTGTCCCATGGGTTCTCTTTGTGAGTTTGGGCAACTCCAAAAGTTAGAGGTAAAAAGTCCTTAATATGAGCTTTGTTGGACAAAAATGGATGTTGGATTCCATTAAGACATGTTAAGGCATAAAGTTGCCAACTTTATGCATTAGGACCCTGAAATGGACAAAATCTAGAAGTTGGACCTTATGGCTAAATGGATTAAGCACTAAATGGATTAAGGTGGCAAGCAGCTCAGTACGCCGAGCATACCAAGGGAGTACGCAACACGTACTGGCAAACAGTCGTGTACGCCGAGCGTACGCCCCTTAGTGTTGTTTTGGACTTCAGATGGGCTTTGGACCTTTGGGCCTTAGTTAGGTGTTGTGCCTTGGCTTGTTTAAAGTAGGTGGGCCTTAGGATTCTACTAGTGGGCCTTAAGTAGTATGAGTTGGGCCTTAATAGGCCTTGGGGCCCATTATGGTGTTATTGGGCAAAGTGTGGTTAGGCCCATTATGGGAAGGGTAATATGGCCTTTTATCCTAATAGTGTGGGTCGGGATTTTAGGCCCACGGTTATAGGTTATAACCTAATTTTGATTAGGACGATTTGTTTATGTTCAGTGTGGGATCTTCCAGTTCAGTAGCCGATCAGTTAGTTATTATCAGCGGACTGAGGTGAGTTTTTCACTGTATCAATGGGTCGAAGGCACCAAGGCCGGCCCATTACCCATTATTTGTGATATAGGGTGTTAGCTATATTTGAGATATGTGCATGAAATACCAGGATTTGGCCCCTAGCAACTTTATGAAAGCCCAGGATATGGCCCCTGATATTTGTATGAAAGACCAGGATCTGGCCCCTAGCAACTATATGGAAGACCGAGATTTGGCCCTCGACAGGAAATTACTTGTAAGACTATGGTTTGGCCCATAGCAATTATTTATTTAATGTTTGGTATGTGGTACTTGGGGAAACTCACTAAGCTTTTGCTTACAGTTTGTATTTATCTTTTCAGGTACTTCCGGTACTAAGGGAAAGGGTCCGGCGTGATGGCACAACATTCTCCCCTCACTATTTTTCGCACTTATTGATATTTTTACTCTGATGATTTGACATTCACTACTAGAAAACAACCCTTTAATGACGTGCAAACAATGACACGCAGTGACTTACGATACACAAAAGTGTGCGTCCTAAAAATAATGCCATCTCTTCTAAAATTTGAAGGATAGAGGACACGCATTTGTGCATGCCCTGAAATTAGTGTCAGAAAAAAATATGGAGGACGCCTATCATAAAATGTGTGTCATGTAAGTGTGTGGATTTATATTTTTTTAATGAAACATGCGTTTTGAGCGGGAAATGAAATCCCCAAAAATTAAAACCCTGCCTATGTGAAAAATTAAAACCCCCTCCGCTTCCGATTAGCAAGAAAGAAGCCTAGGGTCTTCGTCTTCCTTTCTCTCTCTCTAACCTAAAACCCAACCTGCGATTTCATAGAGATCTCTCATGGCTTTCCATATCTCACTTAAATCGTAATAACAATCAATCATTATCTTCACCTATTGCCATCACTTAAATCTATCTTATTCCGATCGCCCTGCCTTAATTGACCCTAACTCCCATCAAATCATCACTTTCTCCCAGCTCAAACGAAAAATCTTCGATTTCGCACAGACACTACACTACACTTACAGTGTCTCCAAAGGCGATGTCGTTCTGATCTTTTCTCCGAACTCCATCCTTTTCCCTGTAGCCTTTCTCGCCGTTACCTCCATTGGCGCCATCGCCACCACCGCTAATCCCCTATACACCGTTAAGGAACTCTCCCACCAAATCAGCGATTCAAAACTTAAGCTGATTATCACGGTTGACCAACTGTTCTCTAAGGTCAACGGCTTCAATCTGCCGATAATTAATCTGGGAAACTTCTCAGATTTGATAGAGAAATCGCGTAACCATGCCGCTCTGTCTCCCTCCGTTTCTCAATCTGATGTCGTCGCGATACTTTATTCTTCCGGTATAACCGGATTGAGCAAAGGAGTGGTGTTGACTCACCGGAGCATAATTGCGACGGCGTTAATGGTAACATCCCATCAAGAATTCTACAAGGAAGGGTGAAGCGTGTTTCTATGCGTGGTCCCGTTGTTCCACATCATGGGATTGATCACCTTCACCTACGCACAGTTGCAGAGAGGGAACACCACAATTGTGATGGCGAGGTTTGAAGTGGAGACGACTCTGGATGCAATACAGAGGTACAAGGTAACACACCTTTACACTGCACCGCCTGTTGTGGTGGCGCTGGTGAAACAGTCGGCGGTTGTCAGAAGGTACAACTCCTCATCGTTGCAGGAGATTGGGACCAGTGCAACACCTTTAAGCAAGGACACCATGGATGAATGCTCCAAAAATTTTCCTCAAGAAAAGATGTTACAGGTAAGTTATCCAAAATCCAAAAACTATCTCCATTTCAAATACACATATCAAATCTGTTTGGTATTTCGGTAGGGATATGGAATGACACAGGTGGAATTATATCAATTGAGGATACTGGTGCAAAAGAAACATATTTCTCTGATGATTCTGCTCATATGGTTTTGGTGAGAAAGCTTTGTTTGTGATTTGTTTGTGAAGTAATAAAAAAACTCTAGGTAGGGTCACAAATTCATGATCATTAGCATTCTAATCTATCGGATGTGAGCCCCATTATTGCATATGAAAATATGAAAATAGATGACCATATTAAGGTATGCATTCTTTTCCAAAAATGAAATTGATATATTAGACCATTGATATAATAACATTTAGATTAAAATTGCACAGAGGTTGAGAATTTCGGTTACTGACTACTACTGATGTTGTTGTAGTTCAATGAAGAAGCACGATCTCCCTTTGTGAAGAAGTTTAAAACCATTGTTCATCCTGGAGAGGTATTATCTATTTTGTTTATGATGTTTTTCATAAGATTAAGATTAAAAACATATTTATTTGACATTTAATTGTATTTATGAAGGTAAACCGCATCAGGGAGCTTCCTCAAAACAACAAAATAGTAGCAACACACACAGACAGCCCTGATGTACGCATTTGTTTTCCATTTTTCATTTTTGGTCCTTTATTTTATTAGTTTTTGATGTATTCTTTTAATGAAATATAATTTTATAAAACCAGGTCCTAATTTGGGATGTTGAAGCTCAGCCCAATCGCCATGCTATCCTTGGAGCCACAGAGTCGCGTCCTAATCCTTGGAGCCACAGAGTCGCGTCCTACCCGTTCGGCTAACGACCCTCCACCAATCAAGGAAGCGGTGGGTGAGAGTGGACACCCATTAAACGACCATTTTATAGGCCATAACCTTATACCCCCCTTATAGATCGGCTTTGTGAATGAGGCCTACTAACGGTAAGACTAGCATTTTAGTTATACATACATAATATTAGACTTTCAATGTTATATATATAGTATAAGGGTGTATTTTACACTTTTAAAATACTAGGTGGTTTAATTTTATAAATTACACTTTTAATTTAATTAAATATAAACCATATCATTATGGATTTATTAACTCTCTTTTAGTTATACACTTAACTAATTTAATAAAACCATAAGGGTGTAATATGAACTTTTCAAAATTAGAGTTTTTAGAATTTAGACTTTTTCAAAATTAAACCTTTTAATCAAACAATTTAAATTCCAAAACTTGAGGGCAAGTTTTGAAACTTTTCAAAACAATTAGGTTTTAATTTCACTTTAAAATTTTCGAAATTTAATACTATTTAAATTAAAATTTTAAATATTAAAACTCTTGATTTAATAATTATCTTGAATTAAACTATTAATTTAAATTATTAAATCATAAGGGATTATCTAAATCATGAAGGATAATTACCAATTAAACAATTAATTTATCCTAATCCTTTTAATCCCTCTAAAATTCGAAAATCATGGGATAGGATAATTCAAAATCTTTAATTACCATATATAACCATTAAAGGATAATTACAAGATATAGGATAATCCAAATCCCTAAAATTTAGGATCTTATCTAGGGGAGGAGGCTAATTTCGAAAATCATGGGGTTTTTCAAACCCTAGATTTCGAAATCTTGAGGCTTAAGGAAAGGATTTGAAAAACCCTTTCAAATTTTTGCAAATTAGGGTATAGAAACCCTAATCTCGAAATTTCTTGCCTCCTAGGGTTTATTGGCAATAAACCCTAATATGTCAAGGTCATACAATTGTATAATGCTAATTGAAAACAAAAACCAAAGGCTCTGATACCACTGTTGGGTTTTGTACAAACAATCCTATGTGTGCATGCAACCCTAGAGTTGGATCTATGTTATCACTATTAGTTATGCAACATTATGAACACATAATAAAACCCTAATGATGCTTACTATTTTCGAAATTAACCAAAAAGGTTAGATTACATACCTCTTGTTGTTATATTGTAATAACAACTTAAATCTTCAAAAACCCTAAGTCTTGAAAGCAAGCACCACAAGTGTAGTGCCTCTAATGGCTCACAAACACCACAAGCAATTGGAGATGATATAGAGAGAGGGAAGAGGTATAGAATTTTGTCCCTAGGACCCCTTGGGAAGGCATGGACGAATTCATGAGCTTTAGGGGTCTTTATATAGGTGTAGAGATTAAGGTTTTAGTCCTTATCCTTATCTAGTTGCTTGCCCACCAAGCAATCATAAGATAAGCCTTGAAATCCCTTATCCTTTATCCTTTGGACAATTTCAAGGATCCTTATCTCCTTGAATTCGTTCAACCCATATTTAGGATAACCATTACCATATTTTGTAACTATCACATAATTACAATTCAGCCCCTCTAGTTTAATTAATTACACTTGATCACAAAATTAATTCTTAATTAATTATTGACTGATATTAATTAAACAAATATGATTTCTCCTTTAATATATTATTCTTATAACATATTAATAAATCATAATAACCTTTTTCTCTATTATTTCTCCAGACAAGTTGCTTTGGTGAAGGCAACCCAAAAGGACCATGCACAATCGGGTCAAGTACTTACCAAATATGGTTACAGGCTTAGACACTAATCCAACAGTCTCCCACTTGGATAAGTCTAGTAACCACAAATGTAAGTACAACTCGATTAGCAATCGTAGCTCTCAAAGACGCTGTCAAACTCTGATCTTATCAGTAACCTGTCCTTTAGATAAGGGATCATATATTCCTCCATTCTAGATATCGTATAGACGTGAGACATGGATTGAAATCATTCTCTCAGTCTATGTGTTGTTTCCCGATTTCCGATTTACGACGACTGACTAATTGAACAAATCAAATTAGCCCTAGCCCGGCCGAGCATTTACGTTTGTCATCACTAAATCATCGAGGGGCCCACAAATATCGCTTTTATCCCACTTTGGATAAAAGGAACGGATAAACTTCGACTCAATGTTTGCTTGCACTCACTCACCAAATCACACACAACAATAAGTTTTATAACACCAAGTTACTGGTGCGTTTACATATTATCAATGTGTAACCGATTCGCAAGATACAACTCACACATCTCGGTTTCAAGAATACAAGATGTTATCGTCTCACCAATCGCTCGTGATAAAATCCATGAAGCGATCCAAGTGAGCGTGGGTTTAATCCAATGCTCAAAATCATATTCATAAGCACTCATGAACGTTGCAGCAAACCTTTGCTATGTCTAATACACTTTAGACAATCTACAAACCAATTCATGACAGTCTTCATTCATACCTACTTCCAACATATGAACGACTGCGGACCGTTTGAATAATTCGATTATTCTTAATAAACTCAATTCTTCTGGAAGTCAAAACATGCAAAGAGAAACACAAGAATAATACTAATCCTATATGGTCTCAAACCTTTGAGTATAAATAAAACACCTTTTATTTATCACCATATCGATTACTCATTATCCATTGTTTAATGTTTCAGATAATCAACTTTATAACTCGAATCATAACCACAATTGTCCCATGCTCAAAGCATGCACACTTTGGTTTCCTATGGTCCATACTTTGTGAAATAGATTAATTGAAACTTTTCAAATGCAACTCATTTCACAATCCCCAATCCTTATAATTAGTGTAAGAATACCAAATTCTTGCCACCTTTTAGAATATGTCAAATTCTAATATTTTATGCAATGATCCTCTTGTGAAGTCACGGCACAAAAATCACAAAGACTCGGCCAACGAAATCACAAGGTACTCTATCAAAATTGTTACAGAACAATTCTATAGATGTGATGTCTCTCACTCAAAGTACATTCCTTTGAACATCCTTTTGCATAAAATTTTCTAATCATGTAAATTCTTAATTTCCAACTCCCAATTATGGAAACATTTCCATATTTACCATATGATAACTCATTCTTAATAGAATCTTATCTATTCATAATAATGTCGATATGATCCATTCAATACCATACTTCCAACTACTCACAAGCGACCAATCCTCAGGGAACTTTTGGGTCGTCCTTTGATAGTTGTTTAAGTATCTTAGTCAATACCAATTCTTGTCCTTTTCCCTTCTTAATGCGCTAGACATTTGGAAAATTTTAGAATGGTCAAATATTATAGCAATTGCAATCGATCCTTTACCCGAAGCGTATGGGACACGATGCATAATGTCTTACATAAAGATACGATACTCTATCAATCTTCTGCCATAATATTTTATGTGTCACGTTCTTACAATTCGAACTATGAAGAGGGATACCGTAATCATAATCGAAGTTTAAGAAGACACTATGTATCCTTTGACTAAATTTATTAAAATTTCTCAATCTAAGCTTTAGATTTGAAATGAAGCACAATATTCTCTCCCTTAATTATAGCAAAACAACTTTTCAACCCTTACAACTTTGCAAAGTATAACTCTTGTTTTCTATAATTAATATTGCTAACTGGCAATACTTACCATAATAATCATGCTCCCACTTACATGATGATTATTTCTTTACCAGCATAACACTTATGCTCCCACTAGCTTCGACATGTATTCAGAAATTAGCTGAACTTCTAGAAAACAATTTCTTAAGTTCATATTTCTAATGCTAGATGCTTTGATAAGACTTTATCTAAGCTTCTCAAACTCATACACTTTTCCTTGGACAACTCATATGTATATGTCTAAACGATTCTAGGACTCATATCAACAAGTCTAAAATGTTCAGACCCATTTGCCATTTCCCACAATTCGAACTATGAAGAGGAATGCCACAATCATAGTTGAATTTGAGAAACCCAAATTACATAATGCTATCTTCAAAATCTCTCTTAGTGAAAGTGTTTCCTTACAATCATTCTTATGAATGAAAGAAACCTTATGACACTTAGATTTTGTGGTGTATTCGTTCTTATCCATGTAAATTTGTCATAACCATAATCACAAGATAATGTTAGTGACAAATCCAAACTCTTATGGATAGAACTTGTTCTTCTTAATTTCTTGCCATCAAGGGTCCCACCATTACTTCCAAGTTATTGAGCAGCTCACCCCTTCGTTTCAATGTACTTTCCATTGAACAAGGTGTCTTGCCCCTATACAATCCATTGAGAACTCGTAGAACTCACATGCATAATTAACTCGATTGGAATGGCACAGAAATAAAATTAGTGTCAACACGATAGGTTGTAAACCTCAAGTCGTGTGCTAGTGATGAATGATAAGGTTTATTCTTGATTTGTTCTTGAAACCTTTCAAGACCATTAAGACTCCCACTGACTCCTTGACATATAAGATTCTCTTGTCAATTAACATTTCTCGACAAACAAATATTCAAGAGTTAGTGTAGCTTTTATCAAGACAAAACACTTCACAAAATTGGTCCTAGTTGGTCTTTGTCTTGTCCAAGACATCACAACTTTCCACATTTGATGAATGTTATAAACCTTCTTAAGACTTGTCACTCAATGTCACAATCTTAACTCTAAGACTTGTTTTTGGAACGAAGTATGATTGACTTCTTGATTTAACCATTTCTTCAATTCTTGATTCCTCTTCTCAGACATACAATTGCACTAAGACTCACTTAGAGGATTAATTGAGATATGGTGACCTATCATAAAACATAATAAAAGGTACTCTCCCTTCTTCTTAGAATAGAGAAACTTTTATCTTTCTGCTTACTTGATTCTTCTTATTCGTTCTGCTATTGATTGAAGCTCTTTCAATCAACTCAGAATTACACTTAATCTTATGAGTATAATCATATTTACTTAACCTTAGTAAATCATGACGAATATCT